CCGTACTCTATTTATTTGATTTTGTTTTGAATTTCGCTCGTTTATAATAGAAAAATGCAAACGGTATTTGGCGCGTAAATATTATTACATTTTAAATTTTATGATCAATGTCTGTGATGATACTGATCTTCTAAATAATGATTTTTTTTTATTGTTGTATTGAATAGAAAATATAAGAAAACAAGATCTCTTGCCTTATTCCACCTAAAATAAATACAAAAAGGTACACGAAATTATATATATCGTAATTTGATTTTGGTAGATTCATCATTTGATATGATCCTTACCAAAAAAATCCTAACTAGACTTGGTAGTAAATCCATATAATATTATTTCTTGTAAACTCCAATATACATAGATATTTTTAAATCTACGGAAAATTATGAAAATAATTCAAAAAGAATCAAAACGAAAAACACAAACAATATTTTTTATAATTAAAAAAGGTTAAAGTTGATATATTTATCCTTTTTTTCAATAAAAAAAAATTTACTACCTAAAATATTTAAATAAATAATAATTTGTAATTCAAATATAAAAAGAATATCTTCAGGACACAATCACCATCATCTGTTTTATAACGATAATGGATAGGAGCAAATTGTTGGATTAGTAACATAGTAGGTTGGACTCTAGCTTAAGTACTAATTTTGATCTAAATCCGACCAAAATCAAACCAACGTCGGTGTAAGCCACGATTCTAGCTTAAGGAAAAAAGAGACATAAGAGCCAAGAGACCGTGCAAGTCCCAAAGTCTCGCATCTGTAGTGAGCCACGACTACTTTTTAAGAGTCCCTGCAGATGAGTAAACATGCAAAATGCGAGTTTTGATGATTGGTTTGCAAGCAATGGAAATCAATTGTGGAATCTCCATTTTTTCCTGAGTATTTCCTGTTTCCTCATCAAAACTTGCGTGGTTACTCATCTGCATGGACTCTCAGAAAGAAGTCGTGGCTCACTATGGATGCGAGACTTGGAGACTTGCACGGTCGCTTGGCTCTTACGTCCTCTCTCCTTACTGAAAAGTTCAGTACGTAGGCTAAAGTCTTGGCTTACACCGATATTGGATTGATTTTGGTCGGGCTTACACCAATTTTATCGTCAATATATTTGATGAAACTAAGTTTAGACTCATTATTATATTTGTGTTGAATAGAAACTATATGAAGATATGATCTCTTACCTTATTCCACCTAGAATAAATACTCGCATACAAATAAATCATCATTTAACTTGCATACAAACAAATCACCAAATTCAAAATCAAATCCATCATACCCTTTCTTCTGGACTTTACTTTCCAGCGCAGAATATGCGAAAAACTAAGCAGTCACTAGTGTCGGAGTAATAAGCTACTCCAACACTTGGAAAAAAATGATACAAGGGTCTCTCTTGGGGAAGAATGAGTGTTTCCCCCTTACACGGATTACAAATCCATGTTTGCAGATCACATAATTCGTTTTCTACGTCTTTGTCACAAATCTGATTTATGCAACAAATAAGTCCATTAAAGGACGGTATCATGTGCATTTGTTCTCTATCGCTTCTCTCGGAATGCAACAAATAAGTCATGGAATGTAACAAATAAGGACTTATTTGATCCTTATGAGAGAAGCCATATACAACAAATGCACATGATATCATCCTTCGACGGACTTATTTGTTACATAAATTGGATTTGTGACAAAGGTATAGAAAACGAGTTATGTGATCTGGAGATATGGATTTGTAATCCGTGTACGGGGAAACACTCTTTCTTCCCCAACGGAGACCCTCGTATCAGTTTGTGCCAAGTGTCGGAGTAGCTTATTACTCTGACACCAGTGATTACTTAGTTTTCCGCATATTCTGCGCTGGAAAGAAAAGTTCTGTAGAAAGGGTGTTTGATGGATTCAATTTTGAATTTGGTGATTTATTCGTATGCAAGAATTTATTCTAGGTGGAACAAATACTTGCCAAGTATCTATCTTAATTTTGGATTAATCATCATTTGATATGATTTACACAAGTAAATCTTAACTAGACTTCCATATATATTATTTCCACACAAATGAACTCCAATGTAAATATTTTTTGATCTCCACCACTCAAGAAACATACATTTCCTAAATCATTCTCTAGTCTTGTAGGTCATGAACGATCACCGTGGCCATTTAGAAAGGGGCACAATCTATTGTAACCCATTCCAATTGCTATGTGAAAACGGGATGCTTGAGTCATGGATTCAATCATTGGTTAATGTGAAACACGTCAAGCATCTTACACTTGTAAACTTTTTTTTTCCATTTTCAACTTAAAACTAATTCCTATAACACACTAGACTTGCCCTCTAAATCATTTTCCCATCCCAACCTCAAATCCAATTCCAATAAAAGGACGGTCTTCTTTTCATCAATTCTTGTGACGAGGCCGCAAACTCCCCGTCTAGACCTAGAGGAAGAAAAGGCCGAGGAAGGATTTCCACACATTGTGAAATCAGATTAGTGACACAGTAGGTTAGACTGGATCTAAACCCGAGCAAAATCAATCCAACATCAGTGTAAGCCAGGACTCTAGCCTAAGTTCTGAGTTTTTCGTTAAAGGAGAGAGGAGATGTAAGAGCCAAGAGACCGTGCAAATCCCCAAATCTTGCATCCATAGTGAGCCATGACTTCTTTGTGAGAGTCCCTGCAGATGAGTATCCACGAAGAATGCGAGTTTTGATGATGAGACAGTAAAAACGGAGATTCCACTATTGATTTCCATTGCTTGCAAACTAATTTGTAAGTAGTGATCCTCTTAGCGGACATTCTTCTCTTCTTCCTTTTCATTCTGTCTTTATCAACTTTTCATTAATGCTTTTTGTCATTGTCCCAACAACGATCGAAAGGTAAATAGTCCATTAACGTTTCCTTATATAATGGACTATTTACGTTTCGATCATTAAAAATTGATAGAGAAAAAAAGAATAAGAAGAAGAGGACAATGATGGTCTATGGGAGGATATACTTGCGAGAATACTGCTTAAGAGCATCACCACTTGCAAATTGGTTTGCAAGCAATGGAAATCAATTGTGGAATCTTCGTTTTTCTCTGAGCGTTTCTTTTTTCATCATCAAAACTCGCATTCTTCATGGTCCCTCATCTGCAGGAACTCTCAGAAAGAAATCGTGGCTCATTATGAATGCGAGACTTGGAGACTTGCACGGTCTTTTGGCTCTTACGTTATAGGGGTCAGATTTCACCCCTACGAGATCGATATGGCGACGAGATCAACTCCACAACCTCTTGACGAAATCAAAGCAAGTCTACAAAGATCCAATTTGGATCTAGGTCCAAAATGATATTAAACCCATAAGC